TCCTAAAAGTTGACCTGAAGCCCGATCGACTATCAACGTCATAAAAAGATAGCCTAAGGATTGAACTAAAGCCCGACCGGCTATCAAGTTGTAAGAGATTATCTGAAGCAAGAATGTGCCAAGTCCTAAAATTTGGTATGAAGCCCGAACGGCTGAGTACCAAGGGGAAGGGATTTTTTCCTTAAATAAATTATCAGAACTTTCTAATGCCCGAACGGCGATCAACGGCGTTAAGATTATTTGAGCAAGAAATAAGTTAGGAAATTGGTTAAGTCCTACGAAACAGGCCGAATCCCGAATGACGAGTAAATCATGCATTAAAGACAGAAAAGACAGTACGCAAAGTTTCAGGCAAAAAAGGGATATATATTCATCGGTGCTACTGACCGGGAAATACAGGCTACTTGGAAAAAAGAAAATTACAACAAGAATTACAAGAGTACATATGAATTATTGATCGGGGGCCATTTCATCTCCCTCTTCATCCTCATCCTCGTCATCATCAGACAGGGGTTCAGGCTCTTTCCCCGCAGCCTGATCGGCTTCCCTCTGTTGAGCTCGCAGGAATTTCTCAAACTGAGTCTGGATAATGTCATCTGCGGGGAGATCAGAAGCCTGAACCGGCCTCCCCAGATGATTTTGAAGCTGATTGACGAAAGGACGCAGCAAGACCTGGCCAATTTTGCCATAAAGGTCTGAGACAATGGAGTCGTTCCATTTTTTGGCCTCGGGGTCCTTATCTAAGAGGGCCACCCCTGCCGATAGCCGACCAGCGCCTTTGGGGAAACCCTTCAAGTACGCCCCAAAGGCGAACGGGATTTGGGCCCTTGCATGATCATCCTTGATGGCGGAGAATTCATCAGAGGATTTAAGCGTGTCCCGGACGGCGGACAAATCCACATTCACTTCATACGGACCGTCCGAGATGCTGGATGGCATTTCCTCAAATCTAACCTGTGCGGCCTCAGCGGCAAGGACCTTCGCCTGGGAAGCTGCGAGTTGGACCCGAAGGGTACCGAGTTCAGCATCCAGCCTCTGCTTTTCCTCCGCAAAGGCTTTCCGTTCGGCCTCCAGAGAGGCGATGGCAGCAGCAGCATGTTGCTCAGCAGAAGACTGGGCAACAATCAGTTCCCGCTCCTTAGCCAGGCGGGCCTCCCGCATCTGAAGGGTGTACAAGCCCATCTACAGAATACCGTTCGAGAATTAGTACTGGTTACAGAGAATAAAATAAAGACAAAGCGCAAAAGACAATATACCTTCAGAGCAGTCAGAGCCAGACATTCTTCAGATTGCTCGACCGGCAACTGAGGAAGGGAAAAGTTGTTGAACCAAGAGGAGGTTGACCAGATCTGGCTCGCGGTAGAGCCGGCCCTCTCTAATACCTCATGGACAGGGTCGGATAGGGAGATCCGCTCGACCTGACCCGTAATATGGTCGGTGTGAGTCTCGCCAGCATTCGAGGGTTCTCCCCGAACGGAGTCGAAATGCTGGGAAAATTGGTGCAGTTGATCAGAGCCGAACCGCTCGTCGATCAGCATGGCCTCTAATTGGTCCTGGTGGACCTTCTGTATTGGCTGAGGCTCTGGAAGCGGTTTAGAAGGGGCAGCCTCCTGAGCGGGAATAATGGAGGGAGTAGGTTGTGGATTCTTCCTGGATTTCTTCCGTTTTCCGGCCCCAACGGCTGCGATGACTCTGCTATCATCCATAGGAAGATCTGGGTTGGGTGCTGAAAAAAGACAAAGAACAATGTTAGTATCGAGCGGCCCTAGCGTGTGAGAAACTAGAAAAAAGAATAAAAGAACGTTTCTCGCACGGGAAGGACCGCCCGGACCAAGGCACTTGGTTTATCAAAACAAGTAAACCCAAGAGAACGGGCAGTACCTATCCCGGCTGTTATAAGTCGTTCGGGGGTCAGATAATTCATGATGTCCATGCATTTATCCTTCTCCACAGCAAACACGTCCTTGTAGATTTCTTCAGTGAGGACAGGATCAGGGGTTTTGCGGGGAAAGGCATTCCATTTGCGGGGAATCAGACCGTCCGGGATGGACACGAAGAAAAACCGGTCTTTCCACCCTTTGATCGAAGTTGGGTTTCCTTTGAACATGATGTGTCCCGTTCGGGCACTAGTGGCCAGATAGCCATGGGTTTGTTGGGGGGCTACTTTGAAAACTTGGTGGAAGAGTTCTAGGGTTGGTCGGGCGCCGGCATCTTTGCAACGACAAATGAAACCCGCCATTGCTCGATAAGAGTTCGGCATAATCTGGGCCGGTACAACTTCGTAGAAATTGAAGAAAGAAATGAAAAAGGGGTGTAGCGGAAATCTAAGGCCGACCCTAATCGAGTCAAAGTGGACTATGGTCATTCCGGGCCTATGACGCATTGGGTGAAGCCCGGCTTGCAAACGGAAATCCACCGGGTCAGGGATAAGGGCCGGAATTTCGGCCCTATTGTGAGAGGTCAATTTTTGCCTCCTCTCCCTAATCAATTTTAGGTCAAGAGTATGACGAGGAACATCGTTGGGACGTCCGGCCGCCATGGAGGCTATTTCGTCCTCGGATTTGGCGTCATCAGAATCCTCACTGGAGGAAGAAGAAGTGCTAGGGAGGTCCTCCGCCTCAGCCCTGGTATTCGTCGCCGTCTCAGTAGAAACACCGGCAAACGGAACTGGGATGACATCTACAATGGCGGTGTCACGGTCATCCCCATGAGAGGCCATCTCCGAATCAGAGGAATGCTCTTTGGGGCTCATCTCGATCGAAGCCAGAAATGAAGATGGGGGATCCAAAGTTGGGAAATTACCTGAGCAAGGGAAGCAGGGGGAAATTTGCAGAGGAAACAACGAAGGCCAAGGAATTGCAGAGTCGAAACCCGGAATTGAGAAGTTAAGGGCTAATTTATAGCCTTGAAACCGCCGTGTCGAGAACCAATCAGAGAGCGACACATCACTAGGAGCATTTAAGCTAAACACACGTCTAATGAAAAGACTAAACGACGGTTATCATGATGAATATGGGGAAATGAAGCGGCAGCCGTCAAATCGCAGCATGGGGAACTGATTACTTCTGTACCCCGATCGCCATTCGGGGTATTATGACATTGGTATACTTCCTGATGCACTCATTTTGTTCGAGACAACGGAAGTGGGGGACTTGTGTTGGGATATTGACCTAGAGGCCCAATACCCAGATCGGGAAGGCCCAAGATATCCGGCCCAAGTAACAGGCCCATCACTCCATGATGAAAAGATCCAGTAAGGAGACATACCGAACGAGGTTCGGCCCAAATAAAGGTTGGCCCAGTAAGAAGACATACCGAGCGAGGTTCGGGCTATATATCATACTTGGGCCAATTTGACAGCATCTTCAGTGCAGTCCAACATCCCGTTCGAGCAACGGCAAACCAGCAAGTGGCCAGGTGCAGTTAATGCCAGACTATGACATCAGCAAGTGGAAGCATGGATGACCAAGTCGGTGGAACAACGGCCAATCAACAAGAGGCAGCCCATGCTCTCCATTAGTATAAATAGAAGGTTTCAAGTCATTGTAAGGGTGAGCATTTCAATACTCAAGCTCTAGAATAGCATCATTTGCTCTTATTTCTTGTATTAAAGCATAGTTTCCGACTTACCGATCGGGAAATCCCTTGTAATCAGATTGGTTAATTAATACAAGTGAGCTTTCGAGTTTTAGTTAGTTCAGATCTTATATTTTCTTTTACGCTTTGATTCTGGGCCATTCCTGATATATCCAAAGTTCGTGTTGGGCTTTCGGATCTACGGGACTTACCCTCAACATTATTATTATTATTATTATTATTATTATTATTATTATTAGTATTATTATTATTTTATTATTATTATTATTATTATTATTATTATTATTATTGATGGGGTTATGGGACCAGGCCCAGAGCCTAATCGGTCTAGGCCCCGAACTTGGACTAGCGGGCCCAAGCCCAGCAACCTAGAGCTCGAGTCGGCCCAACCAATCAGGGCAATCAAGGAGCGGAAGCCCAAGAGAGCCTGTCGACCAGCCCAGCCAGAAGCCTGCCTTCCAGCCCAGTGGGGAGCCTGCCTTCCAGCCCAGTGGGGAGCCTGCCTTCCAGCCCAGTGGGGAGCCTGCCTTCCAGCCTAGCCAGGAGTCTGCCGACCACCAGCCCGGCTGGGAGCCTGCGGTCCAGTCCAGCTGGGAGCCTGCGGTCCAGTCCAGCTGGGAGCCTGCGGTCCAGCCCAGGTGGGAGCCTGCCTCCAGCCCAACGGGGAGCCTGCCTTCCAGCCTACCCGGGAGCCTGCCTTCCAGCCTACCCGTGAGCCTGCCTCCAGCCCGGTCAGAAGCCTTCCTCCAGCCTAGCGGGAAGCCCACCGTCCAGTCCGGCAGGAGGGAGCTCAAGCGTCCAGCCTGCCAGCCAGGCTGACCTGCCAGCCAGGCTGACCTGCCAGCCAGGAAGAGTAACGGCCAACAATCAATGCGCTACTTAATTATGTGTTTAATTCCGTATTAATGTTGTAATTAATTTAGTCATTATTATGTTCGGCAGTTACCATTTGTAATCGCCTATAAAAGGCAATTCGAATTTCAAATACAGATATGCTATTTCTGGCTAACTTTCCATATTCGTACTTTCCTAATTCTTGCTTGAGTGTCGTACGTAGCTTTCCTAAAAGCCTACGAGCGTCCTATTTTGGACCAACAATTATTATTATTATTATTATTATTATTATTATTAGGGGTGTGCACCGGTTCAAAACCGGACCGTACCGAACCGGACCGGATATCATACCAGTTCGATCCGGTTCCGGTTTTTCCAGCCCGGTTCGGTCCAGTTTTCCGGTTTAAACCAGATAGTGCACACCCCTAATTATTATTATTATTATTATTATTATTATTATTATTATTAGGGGTGTGCACCGGTTCAAAACCGGACAGTACCGAACCAGACCGGATATCATTCCGGTTCGATCCAGTTCCGGTCTTTCCGGTCCGGTTTGGTCCAGTTTTCCGGTTTAAACCAGATAGTGCACACCCCTAATTATTATTATTATTATAATTATTATTATTATTCGGATGTTTTTACTTGGACTGTAATTTGCTGATCTGGTCTGATCTGTTTTGGTCTGGTCTGGTCTAGTCTGGGACGAATTACAGTCCAAGTAAAAACAACCTTATTGTTGTTGTTATTGTTGTTGTTATTGTTGTTATTATTATTATTATTATTATTATTATTATTATTATTATTATTATTGTTATTGTTATTGTTATTGTTATTGTTATTGTTATTGTTTTTTTTTTTTTTTTTTTGGATAAAGGGTAATTATATATATCATCCAAAAGAGTTTCTGTACAAGTAAGGCAAAAAAGTGGGGGACAAAAATGGGGCTATCCCAACATGGGATATACCATAGACCTGTGGGCTATACAATCAGTCCCAAATCACACAAAAAAGGCATGTAGCCGCACCCTATAAAATTTCAAAACGTAATAAGCTCATGAGGGTAAATACTATAGAGGATCTTATACACCATGTATTGGATCCTGGCAAAAACGTCTTCCTCTTGGGTCTTCTTATCATCAAATCTGGTGGCATTCCGAACTCTCCATAACCAGTATATAGTATATATGAATGCAATTCTGACTGCCTTGGCCTTGATCCCCGCACCTGCATGCTCCTTCCTAATCCACTTAACTGAGCTTTCCAGAGTAGACATCTGTCTAGGTATTCCAATCCATGCTCTTACTTTGCTCCAAACTGTGCCTGTAAATTGACAACCAAAGAAAAGGTGTGGCACCGTCTCCGGTTCACCCTTGCAAAATGGACAAATGTTAATCACATCAAGCCTACTAAGATTATCATACGTTGCAAGGCGATTGCGGAAGGCAAGCCATGCAATGAATGAGAACTTAGGAGGTATGTAAGCTTTCCAAATAAAGGGCATCCACATCTGTTTAGTGCCCTTAACTCGAATCAAGTCATACACATTTGAAGAGCACAATTTCCCATTTGTAACCATTTTAGAGAGGGCTGCTATTGTGGTCTCAATGGAGTCATATTTTGAGACAAGGATGTCTCGGATCAGCCCTAGCTTCTTAGTAAGCTGGGAGTCCCTAGTGTGTGGGGAAAATTCCCACACACATCTACCTTTAAGATAGACTCCATGCACCCATTTCACCCAAAGTGTGTCTCGTTTAAGGTGAATATCCCAAAGGGTCTTAGAGAGTAAAGCATTATTCCAAGTTTTAGTATGTCTTATACCCAAACCCCCCTCCTCCTTTGGGAGACACATATCTGCCCAAGCAACTCTGGCAAATTTGCATCCCCAAAAGAAAATACGACAAATTGAGACCACTCTATCAAGGATGGCTTGGGGTATAGGAAACACCTGTAACCAAAAAGAATGTACTCCCTGAATAACAGATTTAATCAATTCAGTTCTACCAGCATATGACAATGTCTTGGTGTTCCAAGAGCTGAGATAATCAGAGATCTTTTCCAAAAGGGGGGCATATTCAGCTATAGCTAGTTTAAGGGGGGAGAGGGGAATGCCGAGGTACTTGACAGGGAAGGCTCCAACTTTGAAGTCCACCAAGTCAAGTATGGCCGTAAGGTCATGGTCTCTAACACCTCCCAAGAAAATATTAGATTTGTCAAAGTTAACTCTTAACCCTGATACCTCCCCAAACTCATTCAATGCATCAATCAAAACTTTAACAGAATATGTATCACCTCTACAAAACAACATAAGGTCATCAGCATAGGCAAGATGTGAAATCTTTAAGCTACCACACTTGGGATGAAAGTTAAAATCAGATGTAGTTCTCAAGTTTAACAACCTTGACAAATATTCCAAACATAAAACAAATAGGAGTGGGGACATAGGATCACCTTGTCTTAATCCCCTCTTCCCTCTAAAGAAACCATGTAATGTTCCATTAATGGAGATAGAAAAGGAAGCAGTAGAGACACATTCCATAATCCATTTAACAAATTGTAAAGGAAAACCAATGTTAAGGAGTACACTATAAAGAAAGTCCCAAGAAATGGTGTCATAGGCTTTCCTGAGGTCCACCTTAATCATACACCTGGGGGAGCAATGCTTCCTAGTGTACCCCTTTACCAATTCCTGTGCAAGGAAAATGTTATCCATCATAAGCCTCCCATCTACAAAAGCCCCCTGGGCATGGTCAATTAGCCCCGGTAAACATGGAATCATTCTATTAGCAATGACTTTAGTAATGACCTTATAAAGAACATTTGTACATGCAATTGGTCTAAAATCAGCAGCTGTGGGGGAGTGTGAGGTTTTAGGGATTAAAGCAATAATCGTGTGATTGATTTGCTTTAATAACCTGCCAGACTCAAAGAAGCCCCTCACGGCCTCAACCACATCTTCCCCAACAATTGACCAATTTTCTTTAAAAAAGGCAGAGGTAAAACCATCTGGCCCCGGGGCCTTGTCATCCCCAATATCAAACATAGCATTTTTAATCTCAATGTCTAAAACGGGGGAAATCAGCCCTAAAGCTTGGTCCGTACCTAGACATGTCCCGGATGTAATTATGCTAGGCTCAATTGGAGGACAACTTACCGGGGTTCCAAACAAATTGACATAAAAATTCTCAAATTCCTTTGCAACTTGATCCATAGAGGTAGTTAGTTCCCCATTGGCTAGTTTTAAAGCCGTAATGGAATTCTTGGCAGCCCTCTTCTTCACAATAGAGTGGAAGTATTTGGTACATCTATCCCCTTGGATCAAATGAATAGCCTTCGCTTTTTGCCTGTAAAAAGCATCCTCGGCCATTTTAAGAAAAAGCACTCTCTTCTTAGCTACTTGGACATCATTCTTTAAGGTATCATCCAAAGGGGAAAGTAAGAGAAGACTATGTAATCTCTTAAATTCTTTCTTTGAGTCCTTTACCTTAGAAGAAATATGATCAAAAGCATTCTTGTTAAGTTCCTTGAGTGGTTTCTTAAGAGCTTGGAGTTTCTTAACTAACCAAAATTGAGCATTGCCCATTACATACATAAACCAATTCTCATGAAGTATAGAGGGAAAAGACTCATGTTTAAGCCACATGTTGAAAAATTTGAAGGGTTTTGACCCCAAGGGGGGGTTATGGCCGAAAGTAACCAATGGTGCAACATGGTCACATTCCACCTCCATATCATGAAAATGTGTTTTGCAAGTGATACCATTAGTATTCCAAAAAGAATTCATTAAAACTCTATCCAACTTAGCCCAAAGTGAACCCCTATTCCAAGTGAAAAATTCACCGGTGGAAGGAGTGTCAACAAGGTTTGCGTTAAGCTTGAAGTCAACTAAGTCTTGTAAGTAATAAGCCGAGGGTGGTGTGGGGCCAATCCTTTCACTAGGGGAAGAAACACAATTGAAATCCCCCATAACTAGCCAAGGACTACTTATGGTAGATCCCAAATTGGTAACGTGATCCCAAAGGGTTCTCCTCACCCCCACCGAGTACAAGGCATAAACAAAAGTAACCATAAAATTCAATTGAGTAGTCTTACACACACATTTGCAATGAATATGTTGTTTGTCAATTTCAAGCACATCTATGTCAACATAGTTCGTATTCCACATAAGGGCCATGCGGCCACCATCTATAGTATCAAAATTTGTAATAGAAGACCATAGTGGCCATCTATTTTCCTTAAGTTTTTCAAAATTAGAAGTAGACATTTTAGTTTCAAGCAAACAACACATATGTACATTATGAGCACGAATAAAATTAAAGATAAGAGATTGTTTTGAGACCTTATTAAGGCCTCTTATGTTCCATGCCGTAATGATCATTAAACAATTGAGTTGGTTCCCCCATCATCCTTGATCCTCTTTTTCCTTCCTTGCCATGGCCTTTTCTTCCATGTGTTGCCTTGAAGGCCATTTTCGCTAAAATACCTACCAAGAAAAAGATGATGAATATTACGCATAAAGAAAGCATCAAAAGCATACCCGTCCTCTATTTGGATGACCCCAGGCAGCCCCTCTAGGCAAGCTTTAGTGAATGTAATCCCCGGTGCATCCAAGTCATCGGTGATTGAGAGGCAATTATCAAGTCTCACAAGCTTTTCCCCCGGCTTCATGGTTAGTTCTAGCTCATTCATGTGGGCCATGTGAAGATTGGGAGGCTTCCCTTCAATGAAATCTACTTGAATGACCACATCATCATGGTAGCTATCTCGGATATCATTGATAATTCTTACTTCCAAATCAACATCCTCCTTCTCTTCCTTTGATGTCCCTTGCTCCTCTTCTTTGTTAGCCGTGATTTTGTCAAGCTCATCCACTAGTTCTTCTTCTTTTTGTTCTTCCCTTTCAATGTTAGGTGTAGCCAAGATCAAGGCAAGGGGGTTTTCTTCTAAGATTGTGGCTTCCTCTTCAATGATCTCCCCCTCTTCTCTTTCCAAACTTTCTGCCACGGGCTGGTCATGGCTGCTCTTGGTGGTCTCGGCCTTTGGATGCTCCTCATGATAGCATCTATTCTTAGCTTTGATAGTATAGATTTGCCTTCTTTGTTCTTCTATTTGAAATGTAGTGTTTTTCCTTGGTTCTTGGGGGGGGTACTTCTTCTCCTCTTTCTTTCCTTTCCAAGTCATGGAGTGTTTTACATGTGAAGGGGTGATGGTCGAAGATCTTGCAATGAAAACAATAGTTTGGAAAGGTCTCATACACTACGCCTTGGCTATAGATCTCCCCGGATGGAAGTTTGACATCAAATTGGAGTGGAGGGGGCTTGGCCGCATCTACTTCAATTAGAACACGAGCATATGAAGATCTAGCTTTCTCTTGTGTCACCCTATCCGTAGCCAATGGTTTACCCACTCTAGAAGCCACGGCACTTAGGATATCCTCTCTCCAAGCCCTCATGGGCAGCCCATGAAATTTGACCCATATAGGCACTTTGAGGAATTCATCACTATGTGTTGAGAAGTTATCATCAAGGACTTTCAAGTAGCACATTTTCCCATAGATGGAATGAGGTCCATCTAGAAGGACTTGATCCCTATCCGCCTCCCTTTGGAACTTGAAGATAATCCATCCTTTGCTATGTGGTCTAGCTTTGCAAGGAACCCCCCATTTTTGGATCATAGTGTTGACTGTCCTAGGTCCGGGAAACACCCCTACAAAGTAGCCAACCAAACAGTACCCCCATAGCTCCACCATGGAGGGAAGTGTGTAGTTAGAAAGGTCAACCATATCTCCGGTAGGTGGGATGTAAGTAAGTTTCATTCCTTGGGATGGTTCCCTATTATTAGTAAATAAGGAGGACCATGGTTTAGGGGCAGCTTGGACAGTTTGTTTGGTGCCTTGAGAGTTAGAAGCATCTCCATTAGTACTCCATTTCTTGGTCCTATTTATGGCCTTAAGATAGACATCATCTTCACATGGCTCCTTTTCAACCTCAACGTTTTTTTCTTTTTCAATTGCCCTATCTTGCTCCAAATCCGAGGATGTGGTCTCATTAATGGGTGTAGGAGTAACCACATTAATGGGGCTAACAACCCCCAAAGGTTGGTCATCAAAACCCCCCTCCAAAACAGCCTCCAAAACAGCCTCCACACTAGCATTTGTAGTCTTCACTATCTCGGCCAAACAGCCCTCATTTTGCACAATTTCTTCATTAATGGATTGGTGAGTGACCTCTTTAATGTTTCCAACAGCCAAAATACCTATTTCATTCTGTAAGACAGACCCCCCACCAACTTTTTCCAATGCTAATACATCATCATTTTCGCACACAATATTGGTGTCCAAAGAAGTTACCTTTATGTTGTTGTTTGTGTTGTCATTTGCCACATCTTGGGTAGTTGGTTGCTTAGTGTTTCTGGCCCCCTTGTTTTTGGTATTTTCTGGCCTCAACTCAATGTTAACCTCCTCTTCTCCTTCGGTAGAGGCTATGTTCTTCTCCATTTCATCCAACATCTTAGTTTCCATGTGTTGAGCTTGGAGTTTCTTAACTGACTTCAATTTGTTTTTCCCAGTCATAGGAGCGATTGGAGACACTGCCTTGGCAAGCTTCCGAGTGTTGACCATAGCTAGGAGGTGTGTCCCAAGCTATCCAAGGTCAAGGTGAGCATCCAAGGACGTTGTAAGCACAAAACGCCTCCAAGAGTCCTTCAAAGACCAAGTTTGTTTTCTTTTTTTTCTTCTTTGAGCTTGTTGTCCGTACTAATGGAGTAAATGTCAGTACAAACGGTCACAATGTTGATTGTACGGATAGGGGGGATGAAGCTAAGATTAGAGTATGTGGTGCGCCAAGGAGAGGCGATTCTCACCCCATATCCAGAATCATCTTAGCTCAAAAGGAGGATTTGGGATCTAAGAAAGAGTTTTTCGTGTATGAATAGTGTTTGTGCGAAAAATGTTGCTCCAGCCCTCCAAAGACTTCAGGTTTTGAGCTAAAAAATTAAAGATAATACACCCCTAAGGGAAGGAAGATGTATTACAGTTAATGTTCGAGCTCAAACACCCAAAAATCCAAGGAAGAAAACAAGAACGAACAAAAAACGCAAAGGGGAAGAAGAAGTGTACGGATTTCGTAGAGAGAAGCTGGAGCTAACGGAAAAAAATCAAGGGATTTTTGTTATTGTTATTGTTATTGTTATTGTTATTGTTATTGTTATTGTTATTGTTATTGTTATTGTTATTGTTATTGTTATTGTTATTGTTATTGTTATTGTTATTGTTATTGTTATTGTTATTGTTATTGTTATTGTTATTGTTATTGTTATTGTTATTGTTATTGTTATTGTTATTGTTATTGTTATTGTTATTGTTATTGTTATTGTTATGGTTATGGTTATGGTTATGGTTATGGTTATGGTTATGGTTATGGTTATGGTTATGGTTATGGTTATGGTTATGGTTATGGTTATGGTTATGGTTATGGTTATGGTTATGGTTATGGTTATGGTTATCGTTATGGTTATGGTTATGGTTATCGTTATCGTTATCGTTATGGTTATCGTTATCGTTATCGTTATCGTTATCGTTATCGTTATCGTTATCGTTATCGTTATCGTTATCGTTGTCGTTATCGTTGTCGTTATCGTTGTTATTATCGTTATGATTGTTATTATTATTATTATTTTTATTATTTTTATTATTATTATTATTATTATTATTGTTATTGTTATTGTTATTGTTATTGTTATTGTTATTGTTATTGTTATTGTTATTGTTATTGTTATTGTTATTGTTATTATTATTATTATTATTATTATTGTTGTTGTTGTTATTGTTATTATTATTTGTAATTATAAATGATTAAAATAAAATTATTTATGGATTATAATATATATAAAAAATAAAATCTTTATGCAAAAAATATAAAAAATAAAATTCCAGACCAGACAAGACTAAAATAGACCAGACCAGACCAAAACAGATCAAAATAGACCAGACCAGATCAACAAATTATAGTCCAAGTAAAAACATCCTTAATGTGTTCATATATGTATTTGAGTATATTGTGTGATATATTGAATTGGACATATAGCTTGTCAGCTAGCTAGCGTGATAAAAATTGCATTGACGTATTGAGTGACTTACCTAAATAGGACTAAAAGAAGGCCAAAAATCACAAATTGTAACCTAGTCAGGTTTGGACAACAATGAATTTAGAGGCCCCGATTCCGGGTGCAAATATGAGGCCCCACGTATAAATAAAAACAAAATCACATATAATAACAAAGTCATAAAGTTCTTTAAAAACAAAGTTATAATGTTCAACAAAATTAATCGTTCAAGTGTTTATATAGAAAATGACATAATTTAAATTTTAAAATAACTACATAGAATTGTATTGTTGTCACTTAAATAAAGTTGTCCTCCTTGCCGTCTTTGAAGCAAAATCATCGATCAAATCCTTGTACTCAATCTTCTCCAAATACTCATTCTCAATCGCTATCATTGCCAAACCATTAAGTCTCTCTTGTGACATTGTAGATCGCAAATAAGATTTCAACAATTTAAGTTTGGAGAAACTTCTTTCTGCACTTGCCACAGTCATTGGGATAGTCAACATTATTCTGTATGCAACAACTACATTAGGAAAACAAGTATAACGCTTCAAAAATTTGAAGAGATCAATAGGTCCAAACTTTTTCTTCGGTAAGAAAGAGAAAAAAAGTTTCAATTCCATATACATATCATCTCCATCAACATCAGACTGTTCATCTTTCTTAAGAGCACCTTCAAGATGAGAACAACATAACTTCAATTGTGCATCTTATAGTGAACTCAATTTCTCAGAAGTAAATAAAAATCCAAAAATACTCTCAAATTCCTGATATTGCTCAAACCTCCTTCTCAATGAAACAATAGCTTGATCAACAATATATAAAAAATAATTAAGTCTAAACGACTCATCAGCAGATAGATTAACAACTTCTGAAGTGCTATCTCGACTCTCATCAAATTGCTTCTTTCGTCGAATTGGTCTCCTTTGAGGAAATATTGGATCAATATCTAGCTCAAAGGCAATTTTTTGGCTTCTTCTATAGCATTTTCATAACCACTTTCCCGGTATCCCTCAAAAAAAGTAATCAAACTCTTTATCTCTTGAATAGCAACATCTATAAGCATGCTCTCTGATTGCAAAGTCTTACTGACCAAATTAACATGATATATGATTTCATACCAAATAACTATTGCCACTAAGAATTCAAAATTACTTAGTTCATGCAACGCTAATGACTTCGCTTCGCTACAGATTTTAGAATCGCTATCTTTTTCAGATATCTCAAGTAAAGCTTCACGAATGTCCCCAATTTGGAACCTTATAGCTTTCACACTTTCAATGCGACTCTCCCAACGAGTGGCCGATAATGATTTCAGAGTTAATCCCTTAACATGGTCTTTCAAAACCTGCCATCTTTTGGTTGAATTCGCAAAAATTGTGTAAATGCGTTGAACAATTCCAAAAAAATCTCTTGCCTTACCACAAGCATTAGCCATATCACATAATATCAAATTAAGACTATGACACCCACATGGTCCATAAAAAGCTCTTGGATTTATGTCCAACATTTTTTTTGAACTCCTTGATGTTTTCCTTTCATGTTTGATCCGTTATCATATCCCTGACCTCTTACATCATCTATATCAAGAATCAATTTTTTTAATTCATCTTGTAAAACATCAAAAAGTCCTTGGCCAGTTGTATCATCAACATTCAAAAAGCCTAAAAATGATTCCTCAATGCCAACATCATTCGAAGAGACATCCACATATCTCAATATTAAAGACATTTGTTCTTGGTGGCTAGTGTCTGGAGTACAATCAAGTATCACTGAAAAGTACTTTGCTTGTTTAATTTTCCGTATGATTTCAGACTTAATTTGAGAGGCAAGCAAAAGTATCAATTCATTTTGAATAGCATGACCAAGATAATGAAAATAAATCTCATCATTTGTGATACGCCTAACATGCTCTTGAATTACAGGATCAAACTCGGCTAGCATTTCAATTAAGCCTAAAAAGTTTCCATTATTGGCTTCATACAACCTCCCATTACTACCTCGGAAAGCTAAATTATGTTTTGCCAAAAACTTGACAATCGAAATAATTCTCAACAACACATTGTTCCAGTGATCCGTTTCATTTTTAATTAATTCTTGGGTCGTCTTGTCAATTGTTTGATTATGTTTAAGCCTCCATCGCAACTCATACCAAGTGGCCATATTTTTAATATGCTCAGCACTTATTTCATGCTCTCTAATCCTGATTGAAAGATGTGCCCAATCATTAAAACCTTCTAATGCTAGTTGCCCTCTCCTTGAACCTTTATAAAACACTTTACAACAAAAGCAAAAGATTCTATCAAGTTCCCTTGAATATACAAGCCAATCTCGATCACATTTTTTCCCATTTGATAAAACTCTTGTATAATATGAGCAAGAAAAACATTTGTTATATTTATCTCTCGTATAATTCTCAATAGACATGTCTCTTTTCAACCCTTTCTCAACTAAAATATCATGTTTGAACTTAGAGCATCCCAATTTCTAGGATCAAATATATCGATTTGAAAAGTTTCTCCGATTTTAGATTGTTCATGATTTTCAGTATCACTCGGAGTGGGATCACTATTATTCTCATCGCCATCCCTAACAACATCCTTATCTGATAGATCATCAATTTCTTTGTCATTCTCAATAGGCAAATCACCATCTAAGTTCACGCTAGAGTTTACAATAGCACTTCCACTAGCACTAGAGTTTTTTATCATAAATCTATCTAGAGCTCCTCTTTGAGACTCGGTTACCGCATCCAATCTCTTTTTTTTTCTTTCGTTTCTCGCACCCCGATTCATACTTTCTAATTCTTGAAGACATGAACAATAAGTAGATGTTTCAAGCGAGAACAATATCACCTGGATTCAAGCAAAGTTTGGTAGTTTCTATGTATGAATGATCCGGCTATAAAACTTTAAATGAGAGATTGCTTGTTGAAATCGCCTAACCAACCAACCAACCTGAAAAAAGGGAAAATATGCAATTAAATATCAAACTCAAATTCGGAAATCTGAAATTATAAATTATATCATGAAATTAACAATACAACATAGTCGCATCGCATTAGTGGTGTTATAAGTATTTGTTAGTATAAAATATAGTATCCTCCGTATCTCATTAATTGCAACATTGAAATATATACACTATTCATGTACTTTACTTTGACTACATTTTATTTATTAATGTATGTGAATTATTATTTTTTTGAAAAATGTTGTTAAGTTCATCTCATTACTAAGTTTTATAATCTGATTTTTATTTTGTTTTTACTAATACATAATTAAATATAATGATGATCAAAGTTGTGTGTTGGCAAACGTGAAATGTTGACTATTGCAACTAAAAAGAGACGGAGGAAGTACATTTTTGTATGCATTTGTTGCGTAAAATATGCATTAGCTATATCTTAAACTATTGTATTACATCAATTTTAAATTACTATTATATTCTGTCATTCCTCATGGTTTTGCCTTATAATGCTCATTGTAATGCCGGAGTTACTATTGTACTGTAACATACATGAGTTAATCACTGATTTTCCTTACAATGTTGTTTATAATAATGTTGTAACAATGATTTTCCTTACATGAGTTATTCAAAATTTTAAATATATAATCACATATGGAGAAGCTAAACATATACTCCGTACTACATAACTTTTATGTAGAACCTAATTAATAGGCCGTAGAGAAACTTTAATATCACGTCTTGTATGATCAGATTGACATACAACAATTTGGGAGGTAATAACTAATAAGCACTAATTTATGAAAGTATATAAATAATTTAAGAGAAAATCGTCAAAATGGGAGTAAAACAGGAGGTAATTGCAAAACTAGGACTCATTGTTTTAAATTCTCTAAATAGAAGTAAATATTTGCATTTGGACGGAAATAGCCTCCGATGCTGTAACATTGCGCAGACGTTGCCATCTTCTGCAATTCATCGCAAACATCTCTTCCTCTCATGGATCTGAGCTCGTCATCGACTCTGGCCTCCCATCGCATAGGCAGCCAGGTAAGTCCTCTGCTTCTTCATCTTCCTCTTCTTCTTCAAATTTATGGTCTTCTTATTTTTTGCTTCTTCTTCTTCTTCTTCTTCTTCTTCTTCATCTTCTAATCCTCTTCAATTTTCTAGTCCCCTATTCTCTTCTTCTTTTTCTTCTTTGGATTTGAATTTTATTTACTAATTTGGATTTTTTGGATTTGAATTTTACTTCATAAGCAAAATGTCACTTTTATAATATGAGAATGTCAAAAGTCTTACTAGTATTTGAAAAAATTGTCATGTTTGTAGCAGTACATTTATCAGGATGACAATCTGAAAATGACATATGTTCATAAGATAATGTCATTATCTTGTCATTTATTCATATCAAGTGGCATTCTCATCGGAGGCTGCACAGACTTGAATGACATAAAAGTGTCATTTTTTAAAAAATAACCAGTAAATATGACATTCTTGATTAAAAAATGACACACTCTTCAGAATCATTACTCAGGACATTTTGAGATTGAAATATATCAAAATTGATAAGAAGAAATTCTAGTTAAGTATATCTTCATTGGAAACTTTCACATTCATGCAATATTTTTTCAAATTTGATTGATAATTTTTTTTAAAAGAAAGCAGAGAATCAGGAACAAGGCTACAAGAAGAAGATGAAGATCAGAAGAATTAGAAGAAGAAAAAGAAGAAGAGGAGGAAGAAAAGAAAGAAGAGTACCTGGGAGAGAAAAGAGCAGATGACGCCGATGAAGTCGTTGATAATGGAGATCGAAGTTGCGATCGGCCAAAGGGAAAGTGACAGAGGAGAAGTCTGGCGGTTGATGGAGAGTCGATCGATTATTTTTAGGAGAAGGGTAATAAGGTAATCTGGAGTCCTATTTGTGAAATATAAAACTTGTAGTCCTACTTTGGAGTTTTAACCATGTTTTAGTCCTATTTAGGATAAAAACTTATAATTTAATTTGATGGGCGGGTTAATTAGTACTTAGTATGTTAGGAGTACCAAAAGGCCATTGTTATTTCATACCGTATTTTTTACTCGATCGTATACTCAACCATATTATTTGCTTGCGACATTTTCTTTTTTATCCAAATTTAAATGTTTGTAACACTTCCCCAATCACAATTTTTTGTATATAAAGTGACAGATAATATATCCCGGGATACCGCTGAATGGTATCTAGAGAGAAGTCAGAACAAGTAAGAGAGGGGGGGAGTAGGTGTGTATTATAAATGAACTCGAGATTCAGATCGTTTACAATGAAGAAGAGACTAGATATTTATATTTGTCATAAATGCGGTGTAAATAATGCAAATACACGTGTCAAGCAATCGACGGTGGAGGGTCGATTCAACCAGGGTGGTGCCGGCACAACATGTGGCACTGGACGTGACACCGCATTTAATGCGACGATTTCAGAACGTGCAGAGAGGAGATATTATCGGGTAGTGTCGAAGGCCGTACGTACCCCGGAGGCGTTCATGTGTCGAAGGCCGTACGTAGTCGGGGACCGTCATGTGCTGAAGGCCGCACGTACCCGGGGGCTTTCATATGCCGAAGGCCGTACATAGCCGGTAAACTGCCATGTGTTGAAGGACGTACGTGCCCCGGGGTTTCAATGTGTCAAAAGTCGTACGTCCCCGAGGACCGTCATGTGCTGAAGAACGTACGTACCCTGGGGGCTTCCATGTGTCGAAGGCCGTACGTCCCCGGGGACCGTCACGTGCTGAAGGCTGTATGTATCCCGGGGCCCTTCATGTGTCGAAGGACGTACATCCCCTGAGGACTTCATGTGTCGAAGGACGTACGTCCCCTGGGGCCTCCATGTGCTGAAAGACGTACGTCCCCTGGGGCCTTCATGTGTCGAAAGACGTACGTCCCCTGGGGCTCCATGTGCTGAAAGACATACGTCCCCTGGGGCCTTCATGTGCTGAAAGACGTAAGTCCCCACTGATGTTTCTGGACCAGGTGCAATCGTTTCTGGACGTACATACCTTGTTGTAGTATGAGTTGTCCGAAGTCCTGTTTGCTGTGTTTGGACTACTTGGGTCTGTTGGGCCTGATTGTAGTAGTGGAAGTGTGTGGGCCGGGATTTCTTGGACCATATACTCCATCATAAAGTAATGGAGATCTATAAATGTTCTTATTTTTACTCGCATAGAATTATTCCTACTCTTTTCCAATTAATATCTTTATTCTATTTGATCTTTTTATCATTATTACTCCTATTATATATTCTCTTAAACTCCGATCCTCACCCAGACCTAATGTTGTAAACAAATAAATGCATAGATAGCATAAATCCTTACATTTATGCCAGATGCATTTCGGTTAAAAGAATTGACTTAATATATTATATGTATATAAGCTTACAGCTTATTGATCGTGATAGGATGGCAAACATACAATACAACACAAATACCAAAATTTACGTAGTACTACACTACTACGTATAACAATCCATTTTGTGAGGTTAAAAATGAACTAGAAATTAATGAATTACCTTTCTTGAGGGTTTGTTGAAATATCCACATCATTGAATGCAACTGCCGACTTTGTTCTCTAAATGATACGCTCTAATTCAATCCAAGGAGAAAAATAAGAATGAAATGTAGATATATCTATGATCTAATGGACATTAAAAATGTAGATTAAGGTGTTATTTTTAACCACATTAATGTTGTTTAAAAGAAACATGTCCAACGAATGAATCGTGCAGTCGTGTTCCCTCTCCGTAGGGTTTTTCTTCTTCCGCGGATCGCCGTTGATCGTGTGATTTTCTCTCTTCTTTTGCTTCGCCGAGATTAAGCGGATGGATCATGGAAGGGAAGAGAGAGGAGTACAGGCGAAGGACCGGATCTTGTAATGAATGACAACAAGATCTCCATAGCTATGGTTACCACAAACATCTTGTTCATTGTTGGTCATGGACAGAAGAAGGGTGCTTGGTCTCCGGCGATCGAAGGTTGTGCACCCCTGGCAGCAGGTCGAGAGTTTCGAGGATATTTGTGTTTGGTGGGAAAATGGGAGACATGGCAGAGAACATAATGAATAAGAGGCAGGGTGAGGAAGAAGCTACAGTACTGCGGGCTCGTCCCCCTCCTGAATCGCCGTCACGGGGTGCAGAAGAGTGTAGGGTTTGGAAGAAGACGAGTGCACTCTGTTTTAATTCCATTATACGAAGTATTTGGTTTGTGTTTTTATTTCAAACTGCATGTTGTTTTGGTTGTGTTTTATTTCTAGCAAAAAAACTCTAGAATATAAGACAAGTGATGAGAAGTCTAATTTGTCTATCATTGGCTCAGTTAATCTCATTACAGAGTCAACGAATCTTATTGCTTCTGTGGACGTGTTAGATTCTAAGTCTGGTTCGAAGCCAAACGGTAGACAGAAGATTTTTTGTCGTTTTATACCTTGCTTAAGGGCATCATCATCCATGAGTTTATTTGAAGATCAATCGGATGATGTGTAAGATTATTTTAAAGATTATCATTGTGAGTGAGAGATTATTTAGTGAGATTGTTGAAAAAGAAAATCCGATATCAAGATTACAATCCCGGATTATTTCAGATTATAGTTAAAATACATTTAATGCATGTCCGGAAAAAACTGATTATTTGAGTATTATTGTTGATGAAGAGTTTTAAACTTTGAGATTATTTAAAATTTATTGAATAAAAGTGATGTGTCAATGATGTGTAATAAAAAATCGTTTATTTAGAGAGTATGAATGGAGATGCTCTAAGTACCGTTATTTTAATACGGAGTAATTACACACTTTTAGGAAATTACACACTTTTGGTGTAATACTTTATTTTTCTTAGTTACTTGTAATTTGTATAGATTAGGGATTTTCTGAGCTTAAACTAGGTAAAGATCATCAAAAGGATCCTGGAAAGGTCAAGGAAAGTGCAAGGGAACAAGAGAAAGTGAAAATTTGGGAAAATATTCAAAAACCCGACCGGGTTTTCCAAAAACCCGATCGGGTTTGACATGACCCGAAGATCAAATTTTGATTTGGAGGCAATTAAATGTGTAGGGCGAAGATTTGGCAAAGATTTGTCTTTTACCCGACCAGGTAAATCAAAAACCCGATCGGGTAGATGTGACTAATGAAGATTCCGGGCACTTACTGAAGAACCCCGATCGGGTTTCCGAAAAACCTGGTCGGGTAAATGACCCTACCACCTCCAAACACCTATAAATACACCCCTTTCTTCCCATTTGAATATCCCTTCTTCCATACTCTTAAGCTCAGTTTAGAATAGCATTTCTTTATATTTTTCTAGCTATGTTTAGTTTCCAAATGAGGAGCTAAACTTCCAATTCTTGGTGTTGCTCTGGAAGCTTGTTGATTATTAAAGTTGTGAGTTATTTTCTTAACTTCTTCCCTTGAATATTAATTATTAGTTCTTTCCTTAATACTATCTCTATATTAATGTTGGGGAGTGTTGCTAAGATGACAATTAGTTAACATCTTGACATTAGTTAGAGTAGTATTTTCTTCCTCTATATTAATATTGGGGAGTGTTGCTAAGATGACAATTAGTTAACATCTTGATATTAATTATAGTAGGATTCATCTCCTTTAATAATATTCTTCCTTGAATATTAATTAATTCCTATTCATATTTCATATTAATATTTTGAACATTACTTAAAGGATCAACTAGTTTTGTTTCATATACTACATCCGTCCCAAAAAAGTTTGCCAAATTGACTTTTCTTGGTCAATGATGGTAAACTTTGAGCAATGATTTTAGTTATTATATTTGTATATAATTTATAAATTTTATATTTTTATGAAACTATTTTCAATAAGGAATATTTTGATATAATTTTCATATTCTAAATAATTTGGTATTAAAATATATCATTGGTCAAAGTTGATTATCATTGACCAAGAAAAGTCAATTTGGCAAACCTTTTCGGGACAGAGGGAGTATTAATTATTACTAGAAACGATCGACGAACTGATGGTTAATCGTTGATGGTTTCACAAGTAAGTAACTTCGTTTTATTAATGCACGGTCGTGGTTAATAAACTTAAGAGAGATTAATTTTTTTGGTTAAACCGAAATCGTTGTGTTGAGGTTATCAATCTCATTTGATTTCATCAAGGAGTTAAGACATTAAATGATACTATCAAGTCCCTCCGTCCCAAAAAGATTGATACATTTTGACTTTTCTTGGTCAATGATAATTAAATTTGACCAATGATAGCTTTTAATACAAAATTATTTAAAATATGAAAATTATATGAAGATATTCTTTATTAAAAAAAACTTATATAAAAGTATAAAATTTATAAATTACAAACAAATATAATACTTAAAATCATTGTCTAAACTTTACCACCATTGACCAAGAAAAGTCAAAATGTATCAATCTTTTTGGGACGGAGGTAGTAGTAAAGGTTATTAATGAACGGTCATTGTTAATAACTCCCCTCGATGAATTGATATACTCCTCGATTGAGTATTCGAGAGGGAATAAGTTATAGATATAACAATGATCGATTAAAATATATCAACAAGTGGAAAGTAGCAATGTCAAGTCTCTTTTATCTTTGAATTAAATCTCATATAAGTTGTTCATTTTAGTGTTTAAATAAATTAAATCATTCAACCTCAAAACCCTCCTTTTATTTACGTTTCATAAAAAGAGAATTATTCATTTCCCTGTGGATACGAACTCTACTTCACCTATACTACGTATTAGTGCTAGTATTGAATATATTTTGACGCACCGTGACAAAGTGCATGTCAGTCAATCCAGTCACTTCAGGCAGAAGTTCATAAATTTTAGCAGAATCAGCCGATTCACCACCTCATTTCAGTGTTGCCAAACACGTTCTAAATGTCTACTTATTATTAAAAAAAAGTGATTGATGTAGATATTTTAAACCACCACAATATACCTTACAATAGACATGAAGCAAGAACATATGAGATTAACCTACTAAACACAAGATCAAGATCATATCACAAATGTACATGAGAAATCTGCCGCACATGTATATATAATTACATTAGTATTGTATTGTTTCCTCGATCTGATCTCAATATATTTTGGGGGAAAATGAATGATAATTATGAACAACAACAATAATATTAATTAATTCCTTAATTACCCTCAACCTCTAGCTGGCAGGCTGCTGGTGGAAGGTCACGCACCGGCCTAGTTTCTGGTACATATACCACACATTCACGCATAAATATATGCTAAAAATAGCGTTTTATTTACGATTAATTTCCTCTCTTTTTTTGTGTTGAAATTTTTAATTAATTATTAGTTTGAGGGTGAGAAAAATAAATCTGCTATATTTCTCATGACCTCTACCTGGGAAGCAAGGCACTGAATGTAATGGGCAGTTTCATCCAGCAAACAGCACATATCCATTGCTTCACCCCCTGGAACGATCTTCCGAAGCTCTTTTGTATTTTCCCATCCTCTATTTGTCTCATTCCTCCCACCACGAAATTTACCTATATATTTTAAAATATAAACAAATTATACTCTATTTCTCTTAATTAAAATGTGGTTGAGTTTAATTGAATCTCTAGCTATTGTTGATTTATGATGAGAAGAGAGAATATATAATAAAATTAATTATTGGACCAAAGAAGAATGGGTAAATTTTTGGGATAGGTTACAAAATTAATTAAATAGGACGAAAGTAACTAAATTTCTCTAAAAAGTTACATCATTCTCACTTTAACTTTAAAAAAATTCAAGAATACATATATACTTGGACTGTAATTCGTCCCAAACCAGACCAGACCAAACCAGTTCAGACCAGACTTGGATATTTATAAAAATACAAAGAAACCAGACCAGACCAGACCAGACCAATTCAGACCAGACCAGCAAATTACATTTCATTTCATGTAAAAACATCCATAGTCACCACGTTCAATTCTTTTAAAAAACCTATATTGTCACCACGTATTAGGATGTCGCATTTCGTGTGCAAATTTTAATTTATCAATTTATTACTCGTAGTAAAATATATCACTATTAATTACAAAAAATATTTTTTTTAAAATAATTGTTAATCATATTAGTGGAAAGTTAGTGATCAATCTGTATATGATACATGTGGATCATTCAGATTATACTTGAACATTTCTTTAATATATTTAATTTAGCATTGATAAAAATGATATTTTAACACTTATTTAATTTTTAGACAAATATATTTTATAGAATATATGATTATTTATGACTACTTTTTAATTAACCATTTTTTACTTTTACCATCAATGATAATAAATTTATATAAATTTTATACTTTTATGGTAGTACTTTAACAAGTAACATTTTTGTACCCTTTCATACTATAAATGGTTTCTTATATATATATATATATATATATATATATATATATATATATATATATATATATATATATATATATATATATATATAATATCGATCAATCCAGGCATTAATATGAGTATTGTTAACCAAAAAGTAAATACTGGTTAACTACAAGTCAAAATACAATAATACATCAATCAATTTTATTACATTAAAATAAGTATAAAAGCTAAGTCATAATATTACTTCCTCATCCTACAAAATTTTTGGGATGTCCCAAAAATATATCTCATTTTCTTTTCTGAAAAATTTTGTGTGCTCAACCTTCATTATTTTTTTTCTTAGTTAAATACAATCATCATTTCAAGTTTATTTTCATTTTCTTAATAATCGTACCAAATCAAACTAAGAAATACTAGTTACTTTATTTTTCAGGAGGGAGGGTGTAACATATAAAAAAGTCAACATATTTTTAGGCGGTTGAGAGAATACAAAACCGAAGTTGACTTTCAGGATTATTTAATTATTACCATCGCGTTTCAGCCTGGATTTGGTCGGGCCGCGGTGGAGAGAAGCTCGGGTGCGGATCCTCCAAAGCAGGGCGCGGCTCCAGGCTCGGTCGGTGCCGACGGCGGAGGCCATGGAGGCGTAAGCGGCGAGCTTTATCTTGCGGTAGCGTCTATACCGAGTCGGGGGCGGAGAGTCCGCGGAGTTGTGGCGGCGGTTGAGGCTTTGGAGGGACCGAAGGAATTTGCGAGTGAAACGAGTTGTGATGCGTGAAGGGTCTAAGACTAGGCGATTGGGAGGAGAAGACGCCATCATCAGATCAAGAATGGGTTTAGGGTTTGGATATGTATTAGAAGAAGATGAACAATATTATTAATAATTAATAAGGAGATAAAGAGAGATTTTCCTCGGACAAAGAGGGGGCCGGCTAGGCTGTTGGCAAAGAAGACAAAGAAAAACAAATTAAAAAAAGAAAGTTGGATTCGATCCCTTCTCTTGTGTGATCTTCTGACACGAGGGATCTACTTATAACACACACATGTTTGTTGTGTGGAGAGAGAGATAATGGGTAGCTAATTAATTAATTAATTAATTAATTAAAGTGATTGGAATTGGAAGGTCAGGCGAAAAGGTCTTGAGAATCATATCACTATTTACTTTAATTTTTTGTCCACTTCCTCAATCCTCACCTCTAATTGTTTCAAAACGGATTATTTGTCACGCACTAGGCATGGAGGTAGGGAGGGGCGGGAGGGGGCCTCGCCCCCACAAGAAAAAAAAATATTAAATATATACTCTCCAGTTCTTAATGAATCTTACTAATGGATAGTCTACCCGGGGTATATATCCGAAGGGTTATTACGGGGAATAACTTAGAAAGAAGTCAGAGCAAGTAAGTAAATGTAGAGAGAGAGTGTATTCAGTATGAATGCCGTTTTCAGCGTGGTTACAAATGGGGAAATGGGGTGCTATTTATAGTAGCAATAAATACCGGGCAGGGACACGTGTCAAGCGCTCATTGGCCGAGGGGTCACCTCAACTGGTTGGCGCTGGCAGCCGCATGTGGCCGCATTTAATGCGGCTGTTGGATGGGACGTCTGTGCAGGGTACGGTGATCTGTACGCATGTGAGGCGGATATCTTGTCGAGTGAGATGCCTTCGGCCATAGAGCAGTAGCCGAGGGCTCCTCCAACCGATGGCACCCTGGTGCCGAGGGCTCACAGTGCTGAGGGCTATTGTTTTCGCCGTTTTCTCTCAGTTTCTTAATTTGCTTGAGAATCCCGTTCTGCGAGAGTTTAGAGCCTTCGGCCAGGGGGCGAAGGCACCCCTGGCGCGTAGTGTGGGCTGCTTGGTACTCTGGGCGCTGTGATTTGGGCCTGTTGGACCTTCTGGGCCTGTTGGGCCTCTAAAGGAGTAGTAGGAGTCTGTGGGCCGGGTGTTCCCGGGCCATATACTCCATCAGGAGTCCCTCACTCCTTTTGCCGAAAGGTACTTGAGGGAAAAGGAGTAATTTGTGCATGCCCTTTGATGTTGTCCCGTCGTGATCTCTGAAGTTGGTGAGGAGTTGTTGCTTTTATGTCCCTGCCGAAGGCAGTCCCTCAGTTACCCACATATCGGGACTTGAGGGCTTGCCTTGTCGTTTGTTGGAATTTCACTAATTTTGTAATTTAATGATTTTCCCGAGGGGGTCCTCCAGTCCCCCACTCCTTGAGGCACTTGTAAAGTGGTGAAAAGGAGTAGAGTAGTTGCGTTGCTGTTGTGGGCCGAAGGCTGACGTTTTTCGTTTCATTTTGGGGGGATGCCTCGTTAAAAACCTCATTAGGAAAAACCCTTTGGGAAAAAACCATAATGAGGGAAAAAGAGTGCACCGAATTCCCCCAATGATGAATCGAAAATGTCAAACCTTGGTAAAAAATGGAGAATGACGGGAATGCCGAAGGCTCTCTCTTCTGAGGGCTCCTGTGTTGATTAGCCGTAGGCTTGCTGTTGATGTCCTGGTGGCGCCGAAGGGGAGCCCCTCAATTCGGGGATCGAGGGCCTGCTGGATGAGGGCGGCAATGGAGTTGTTACCGGGGGGGTCCACTGTTTGTTGATTAGTTGGTGATGAAGATACCCGAGGGCTCCCATTACATGTGTGCCATGGGTCATCCGTCAATGAGGCAACTCCCCGGGGGCTACCCGGTTTTGCAGTGCTGAGGGGGAATCCCCGAGGGGTGCCCTGATATGAAGCCCTGGGTTTCTGAAGGAGTGATCCCGAAGGCGTCTGTTATGTGCTGTGTGGGGCACAACCCGGGGGCACTTCTGAGTGAGTGTACCCGGAGGCTATCCTTGATGAAGTGGAGTGAAGTAGAAAACCCGGGGGCTTCCAGAATATAGTCGTTGGAAATATAGCCGTTGGAATATGTAACGACAGGATATAGCCGTTGGGGGGGTGGCACACGTGGCGTGTTATGGCTGGCTGTTCGTGGGCGGCGTCACCGGTTGGGTGAAACGACGGTGCGTAATGATGGCTTTGGCTGCTGGGAGCCGGGATCTCGGCCCAAGCCCGGATCTGGGAGCCTATAAATACCCCAAGCCAGGGCCATTCCTCCTTTACGCATCCACATCTGTAGCGAAGCTCTGCAAAAAATTCTAGAGAGAGAAACTCAAGCTTTCGGTCAAAAACTCAGCTTTCAGAGGTCAGTTCTCCTTCCGCCCTTAGCTCCATTTGAGTGTTTCTTTTGGCCTTAGGGTTAGTCTTTAGGACCCTTCAGGAACCCCCCCTTCGTACGAGTTTCCCGACCCCTCGCCTTTTAGAAAGATGTCGTCAGCTAGTGATTCCCAAGACATCTCCGGGGAGGCTTCAGAGAACGTTGAAGTGCCGTCTGACGTGGAATCCTCGAGCGAGCAGCTCTCGGCCATTGATGATAGGGCCGTAGCCGAGGCGGTACAGAGTGACCTTCAACTTGAGCTCGAGGCCGAAGACTTCGAGCAGGTGAACGCGGATGAGGAGCTTGCCATCGCCTGTCAAGTGGCCGAGGACGAGGCCCAGAAGGAGGGCCTGAAGGTGACTGTAGCTATCCCTCCCCCTCGGTGTGGTACTGAAGCTGGGAGCTCCCGGCCTATAGACGATGTACCCCTCAGTGTGGCCCCAGGACAGAAGAGAAAGAAGGCGAGGGTGGCTCCGAAGAAGAAGCAAGCTGCCGTCGACGCTGGCCAGCCACTGGGACTCCCCGAGGGCTATTCTTTCCTGAATACGGCCGCCTTGGAGGTCAAGAATAAAGCTACCCGAGGGGAAATGATGGCGGTGCAATTTTTGGTAGGGCCTTCGGCGCAAGTGGTAGAGCCAAAGCCAGATGACGTGCTCCTTCGTGCCCCCGACGGCTGCTTTGCCGTGCATCTGCTTTCGGTGGAGCTGTGTCTCAGGTTTCCCCTTCATCCTTTTGTGTTGGAGTACCTCCGTTTTGTAAAGCTAGCCCCCTGCCAGTTGACCCCGAACAGTCACTCATATCTGGCAGGGTTCCTGTCACTGTGCCTAAGCCGAAGGGTCCCCCCTACTCTGGAGCAATTCTTCCTATCATTCAACTTATGCCGGGGGGGGGGGGGGCATTCGAACGTCGGGGGCTATGGTAATCTGCAGCAACTCCTGAAGTTCAGGATCTTTGATGAGGCGCCTTCGTCTCACAAGGGGTGGAAAGACAAGTTTTGCTATATCCGGTTGGCCGAGAACCCCTTCTCCGCTCCGCTTGGTGACAGGTTTCGGCGGCACCCGAAGGCAGAAGGGTATGCCCTCGAAAAGAATGGGCGGGTGTTGTCCAAGAAGCCGGAGGGTTCCGATAAACATGTGTCCATCAAAGGCGCAATGCTCTCCAGTGAGTTGTACAAGCTTGGCTTCCGTCGGTACCGGCTGATGGGGGAGAAGGAGGAAGGCTACCCCCTGATTGACCGCGTATATGAGAGTGCTGAAGGTTGTTGTAATGCCGAAGGCTTTATTTCTCATGCTTAGAAAATTTTCTTCCCCCTTCATATTTTTTGCTTTGCTGTAATAGTGAACTAACCCTTGTGTGCCTTCTTGTGTTTCAGGACCAAGGCGGGAGCGGCCGAAGAGGCAACTTGCCCGAGAGGAGCAGAAGAAGGAGGCCCCCGCACAGCAGAGGGCGGTCGATGAGATCTTCCCCAAGGCGGGAGCGGCCGAAGAGGCCAAGGAGGCGGGGCCCGTATCGGAGGCCGCCGTCGGGGGCTCCCCCGGTCTGGAGCTGAAGAGAAAAAGGCATGGGAAGGACCCGGCACAACCGGAGGGGAAGAAGAAGAAGAAGGGGGGCCCGGAGTCGAAGGAAGCCCCCGTTGTGGTCGTAGAAGAATCTTCTCCTCCCAAGCCTTCGGGTCAGGCAACTGATCTGACATGGCCCCTGGACAAAGCCCAATTTTCCATTACGAAGGGGACTGCTATCATGCACGGGACCCTGAACCCGAAGGAGTTTTTTAGGGGTGCCACCCCTCCGACCGATAAGTTCGTGCTCTCCCGTCAGGCCGACGATGTCCTCTGCTCCAAGGTTCTGATGGCCTCGATTACGGTAAGTTTCCTTCCCCCTCTTTTGTAGATAACTTCATTCTTTACATGAGTAGTGGCTAACCCTCCGGTAATTCATGTCTGCTTTCAGGCGAGCCTTGGCCTTGGCGAGCTGGTCCAGAGGATAGAACAGCATGACTCAGAGAAGAAGAAGGCCGCTGAAGCACTGGCCGAGGCCCGAAGGCAGCTGAAAGAGGTCGAGGACGCTCGCAAAGCTGAGCAAGAGGCTTTCAAAGACATCCTCGAGGGCTCCAAGACGGTGGCCAGGGCCGAAGGTAAAGCAGAGGCGGAGAAGACTGCGGCAGATGCTGCCAAGAAAGCCGTGGAGGATGCCGAGGAGGCCCGAATCAAAGTTGTCGCCGAAGCCCGGGAGGAGGCTGTTGCTACTTTTGCCGAGGAGGGATGGAAAGCCGAAGGTCGGCAAAAATGGGTGGCTTCGGTGGTGGAAGCTTCGGTGGACGAATGGGTGAAAGGCCCAGGCGCCATGTGGTTGGCCCGAAAGGGGAAGGAATATTATGACGGGAGTGAGTACTTTACTCAGGCCCTCGTATATCGAAGGCTGTCCCGGCATTTTGGGGTGGACCCGAAGGCCTTTGATCCGGCATCCTATGGCCTTCCTCCCCTTCAGCCAGACCCCAGGGTTCCCCTCCCTGAAGGTGTTGCGAGGCCTGACTTGGAAGACTCCCTGCTGATGGCCGAGGGCAGTGACGAAGAGGAGGAGATTGGTGATGATGCCGTGTCCAAGCCTGCAGTAGAGGACGCCTCCGGGAATGCCGTCGAAATTGTTGAGTAACTTTGTACTTAGGAATGTGTGAACATATTTTGTAATGAACAACATTTATCCTTCGGCTTCGGCCTGTTTGTAATTTTACACTCACTCCTGTTTTTGATGAATGCATGCTGCCTCCGGGCTTTTCACCTTTGAATGCGCCCTGTGTTTTGAATGTATGCCTTCTCCTTTTTGAGTGTATGTTTTAGGACTGGGAATTTTTTCTG